TTTATAATATAAATTATTTAAAATTCTATTTCTTTCCTTCCAAACTCCTTCATATCATACACACACACCACATGAAAGTTAGCTCCGGGGGAAAGTTAGTTAACAGGGATTAGCATTATTAATCGTCCCGGTAGGTCTGGGGGCTATGTGCTCAGGGTCATCAAGTAGCTAACTTCTTCCATTTAATGGGGGTTTTAGCATCTGTAAAACAACTCAGTAAATGTAACAATATCAATGCATCAGATATTGTTATCTAGGGACTTCAGAGTGGAGCTAAAGCAGAGGACCTGGGGAAAGGGTTCCGTCCCCGCCAAGGCTCCATAAGGTCCTGCGCCGTTACAGTATGAGGGACCAGATAACTGGACTGACAGAACATGTTACATCACGCATGGATAATATCCTCTGTAGTTCTATTCTGTAAATATCCCATACTCCACGTCTTGAAAGAGGAATTTAATTACCATAGATAATATTAGATTAGAATCCCCAATTTATACCATCCACAAAAATACTGTACAAAGAACAGAAAAATAGAAAAAAAAAAAAAAATAGGAGGAAGCCCTGATGACTTTCGTGTAGAAAAGATGTTCTTAAGACACAAAATTCAAAGCCACTAAGAGAAAGTGTGTATTGAGAAATGGAATATTTCCTGCCATATCAGTAAACAAAGGATGTCACAGTCATCAGCGATTGTAGCCACCACCTGCAGTGAGCTGGTGAGCCCTGAGGGAACTCGGGAAGGAAACAAAGAATACCTGCCATCCAGCGGCCCTCAGACTGCAGCCACTCCCTGCAGTGAACCCTGAGGAAACTCAGGATATGAAAACATGGGATACTGGCCCCAGATAGCTGAGGTACCTATCAAAGGAATGATTTCAGTGAGCCCAGACTCTTGCCTCTTCCCATACAGAGAAAAGTGCTAAATTCCTTAACTTGAGCTATGTGGTTTTCTTTAATTAACAATAATCTTTTGAAGTTCAGACTACCTGCCCTTTGCTGCAAAATTCCTGTATACCCTGGCTCCCCACCTCGCCTCCTTGGAGCAGTTCTCTCAGGGTTTCTTGAGATGCTGCCTCCTGGGCCTGAAGTCCTAAGTATTTCCGCCAAATAAACATAACTTTCAACTTTTAGATTGTGAATATTTTTTTTTGGTCGACAGTATCAAATTTAAAATTTTAATACTGGGAATTCCCTGACAGTCCAGTGGTTGTGTTTCAGGAAGGGGGACCCCTGCCAGGGCCCAAGAGTGGGCTCTTGTCTAATACTTGGAAATGAACTGTCCGAGGAGACACAAGTGCTGACAAAGCAAGAGACTTTATGGGGAAGGGGCACCTGGGTGGAGAGCAGCAGGGTAAGGGAACCCAGGAGAACTCTGCCATGTGGCTCACAGTCTCAGGTTTTATTGGAATGGGCTACTTTCCAGGTTGTCTCTGGCCAATCATTCAGACTCAGGGTCCTTCTTGGTGGTGAGCGCATTGCTCAGCCAAGATGGATTCCAGTGAGAAGAATTCTGGGAGGTTGGTAGGACATATGGACTGGCATCTTCTCTCTCCTTTTAACCTTTCCCAAATTCTTCCGGTTGGTGGTAGCTTGTCAGTTCTGTTTGTTACCAGGACCTCCTGTGGTAAGATAACTCATGCAAGTTGCTACTGTCTTGCGTGGCGAGGTCAGGCGGTTTTGGTCAGTGTTTCCCCTAACAGTTGGGATTCCACGCTTTCACTGCCGATGGCCTGGGGTTTGGTCTGTGGTTGGGGAATTAGGATTCCATAAGCCACCTGGCACTGCCAAAAAAAAAAAAATTATTTTTAATACTATAAACAAAGATAGAAAATAAGCTATAGAGTTGAAGAAAATATTTTCAACATATATACCAAAAGATTAGTATCTAGAGTACATAAAGAACATTTAACAATAAGAAAAAGAGCAGGACTTCCCTGGTGGCACAGTAGTTAAGAATCCGCCTGCCAATGCAGGGGACACAGGTTCGAGCCCTGGTCCGGGAGGATCCCATATGCTGTAGAGCAACTAAGCCCGTGCACCACAACTACTGAGCCTGCACTCTAGAGCCCGTAAGCCATAACTACTGAGCCCGCGAGCCACAACTACTGAAGCCCGGGTGCCTAGAGCCCATGCTCCACAACAAGAGAAGCCACCGCAATGAGAAGCCCGCACACCACGACGAAGAGTAGCCCCACTCGCTACAACTAGAGAAAGCCTGTGCACAGCAGCGAAGACACAATGCAGCCAAAATTAAATAAATAAGTAAATTTTTTAAAAAAGAAAAAGAGCAAAAATCCCAATAGAAAAATGGGCAAACTCATAGGAAAACTACAAGTTACCAATAAACATACAAAGGATGTTCAGTGTCACTATTGTTAAAAAACAAAATTCAACCAAGTAAATTTGAAGATCTAACTGGCTTTATTCAATGATTCATGAATCAGGCAGCATCTCATCCAGTAAATAGAAGGGTAGTCCGAAGGGTTGTACAAAACGGAAGGGTTTTTTAAAAATAAATTTATTTATTTTATTTTTCGCCGCATTGGGTCTTCACTGCTGCACGCTGGCTTTTCTCTGTTTGCGGAGAGTGGGGCCACTCCTCGTTGTGGTGCGCAGGCTTCTCATTGCGGTGGCTTCTCGTTGCAGAGCACGGGCTCTAAGCACCCGGGCTTCAGTCGTTGGGGCACACGGGCTTAGCTGCTCCACAGCATGTGGGAACTTCCCAGACCTGGGATCGAACCCGTGTCCCCTGCATTGCCAGGCAGATTCTTAACCACTGTGCCACCAGGGAAGCCCAAAATGGAAGGTTTTTATAGGCAGAAGGAGGGTGCAGTTGGCCCTCCATATCTGTGGTTTTTGTGTCCATGGATTCAACCAACGCAGATCGAAAATATTCAGAAAAAAAATTCCATAAAGTTCCAAAAAGCTAAACGTGAATTTGCTGTGCCCTAGCATCTATTTACATAGCATTTACATTGTTTTTAAAACTATTTACATAACATTTACATTTTATTATATGTTATAAATAACCTAGAGATGATTTGAAGTATACAGGAAGATATGCATAGATTTTATGTAAATACTACACCATTTTATATAAGGGAATTGAGCTTCCATGGATTTTGGTACTTACTGAGGTCCTGGAACCAATCCCCTCCCCAAATACATGGACAGCTGTATTAGCAAAAAAAAAAAAAAAAAAGGGTCTTTCGGGCCAAGCTATCTTCTTTGGGGATAAGGGAACTGCAGGGGTCTTTATCATACAGATCACCTCACTAGTGTTGATGAAGTAACAAGCTATCTTTTGGGGATAAGGGAACTGCAGGGGTCTTTATCATACAGATCACCTCACTAGTGTTGATGAAGTAATTTCAGATTGATTATTTTAAAGATCTCATTTCTGGGAAGAGTTGAAACTTCAATTAAGTCTTAGTTTGCTGTACTGGAGGCAAATGACTCTACATTGGGCTTATTTCTTTTTAACAATATTAATTATGGAAAAGTAAAGTAAAACAATAAGACATTACTTTTACCCAACAGATTGACCAAGATATACAAATTTGGCAACATGAAATAATGGCACGGATATGGGGGGAAATAGTCTCATACACAGCTATTATGTGTATACATTTCTCAGCATTTGTCTCCTAGTGACATTTGCATGTATGCATGCAGAGTATGTTTATTATAGCATTGTCCATAATAACAACAGTTGTAAACAACATATATTATCACTAAGCGAATGGCTATTCAGACTGTGGAATGTTACGCAGAAAAGTAGAAGGAATAAGGGAGAACTGTATGTACTGCGGACAGATCTCCAAGGCCCTTCGCTAGGAGAAAACAGCAAATTGAGGACTCCAACAGGAACACATACATACACATATGCACACACAAAATACTATATATTTTCTATTAATACGTATATGTATTGTATGTAAAAGTACAGAAAAATGTCTGGAAGATAAATACAGGTTCATAAGAAGAAACTTTTGGTGAGAGAGATGAGGAAGCCAGGATTAGTAAAAAGTCATTAGCTTTATCTGTAATGTTTTAAACGTTTAGAAGAACAAATTTATGTATTATTTATGAACTTAATACTTAAAAATATTAAATGAGATACAAAGAGAAAACATCTAGCACACAGCAGGCTCTCATGAACTGTAAATTCGTCTCCCTCCACCAAAAGTGATTAATACCTTGGGTTCAAACACAATAGCCAGATCCCACCAATGTGTCCCATGAAAATAAAATGTGTAAGGCATAGTTCAGGAAGAGAAGGCCCTGACATGGCACGTGGACAGCGGTGACTTAGAAAGTGGAACATAAGGAAAATTGCAGGTACAGGCAGAAACATCACTGCCCACACAAAAGTGAACAAATGAGATCAGGGAAGATAGTCTCAAAGTAAAGAAACACAAAAAAATGCCCAAGGAAAATACAGGAGAACCATGATGCCATAACTATTCTCTTACTAAGCTTCTACTAAGCTCCAATCAGTTCACATGCAATGTACCATTTAGCCTGCAGAGTAACGGTATTACTACGCCCATTTCAGAAGATGGACACTGAGGTTCAGGTGTGAATTCGTCGGAACCCCTACAACTGACGGCGACTACAAGAGCCGGTATTCAAACCCACAACTGCTCTTTTCTACCATGCTTCGCCGACAATACAAAGGAAAAAAAAAATCAAGAAAAACAAGTCAAGATAAAGGCATCAAAATTAAAACAAAGACCCAAAACAGAACGGAGCCCCCCTGCAGAAGGTACGTGTGTTAATCGAGGGCCCCCCCCCCACCCCCAATGCAGAGAGGGGCGGGCGAGCGGGCGGAAGCTGTCTGAGGCCCCCAGACCCGCTTCCCCCGGGAATACGGCAACTCACGAGCTAGGGGCACAGAGAGACAAGCAAACCTCCCAAGAGCCTAGAAAGGCCCCAGCGCGGCGAAGAGGCGGGGCGAAGGGCAGCTTCCGGTTCCGGGCGCAAAGGCCCCACGTGTTCCGACCCGCCAGGCCCCGCGCGGCTCGGATCTGGCGGCGCTGCTAGGGCCGGGAGTGGGTTGGGGAGAAGCTGGGGCAGGGCAGGAGCCGCCGGAGCTGTCGGAGCCGTGAGTGCTGGGGGCTGGGCCGGGCCGAGCCGGGCCGGAGCAGGCTGAGCGGGGCTGAGCTGGGAGGAGGGGTCGGGGGCGGAGACCCCGCCCCCCTAGAGCCTGGGGAAATCGTACTGTCCTGTGGAAGGGGTTGGCGGCAGTATGTTGAGGGGGCTGAGGCGTAGTGGTCCCCGTGTTTCCTGGCGGCCGAAGCTAGAACCTTCGGGTACGTGGAACGCGCTACAGGCTTCTTTCTTTGCAGCCACCGCCCTCCGCCCCCTCTTGAGGCCTGCAGAAACGCCGTTAGTTCGTACCGCCCTCCCATTGCTTCCGTGCCAACTGGCCCCCCGGCACCGTGGGAGGAGTGGTCGAGGCCCCTTCATTTCCTGCAGTTTTCTACCCCGCCTCTCAGCTGGCTCGAGAATCCCCCCGAAGGCTCCCTGCCCAGGCGAGCCCCATCACTTGCCACCACCAACTACGCCGCAACACACGCAGATACCCTCACCCGTGATTTTATCTCCCGTGATCGTGCTAGGCCTTGGAGACCACCTGGCCTGTGGCTTTTAAGCTGCACCGTGACGGACCCGAGCTTCGTCTCAAGCCAATGACTGCAGTCTCCACTTGCAACTTCCCTCCCCCACCCCTAACAGCCAGGTTTGGCACTTTTCTCGACACCACCGCTACCCTCAGCGGGAGTACATGGGGCCTGCTTCTTATCTGGTTTCGCGAAAAGTTTGTTAGTTTGTATGCCAGGGATTTGCTACCGTTTTTCAGAAAGGTGCCAGCCCGATTTTGATTTTTCTGGGCCTTGATGTTCTTGTCTTCTAGGCGCCTTGATAACCCTGTCTGCCTTGGTCCTGGGGAGCAGGGCCACATCCAGGCTCTACTTAGAGGCTAGGCTTAGAACTGTTGCTTTTTCTCTCTGTCCACATTCTGCAGGTGACACCCAGGGCAGCCTCACTCAGAAGCCACAAGGAAAGCTAGTGGAGTCCCTCATCCCTCCAACTTCTCTTCCAAGCTGCCCCATGGCCCTTGATCCAGAAAGCCACTTCAGAAAGGTTGTGGGACAGCCATGGGAGGCTTGTTGCTGGGAAATGTATGACAGCGGAACAGTTAGGGTTTGTAGCCATTTGTCTTGGGTAGTTTTCTGCTATTACTATCTAGCCTAAGAGGGTGGGCAGGCTTGGAGGGAGGAAGGAAATTTTTTTCTCCTAGGACTAAGCACCTGGGATTCATAATCTTGTCCCCTCTCTCCTCCAGCTGTACCCGTTTTGCACTCTTTATACCATATTGCAGTAGACAGTCATTTCAAGGGCACAGCAAGGTTTACTACGAAGTGAGGGACTCTTGGGCATTATAAACTATGCAGATGAGGTAAGTTACAGGTTTACGACATTTTTTTTCCAGCTAATTTGGCACAGACGTAAAACACACATATAGCAGTCCTAGACTCCTTTCCTCCTTTAAATTTGGCCACAGCACTGGAAAAGTTGGATCCCTTCTGCTCGAACCTCAGATTTATCTCCTTTGCCTTAGGTACTGGTCCTCAGACTTACCAAGCATCTTAAACCCCTGAAGGGCTTGTGAAATACAGATTACTGGGGCCACCCCCAGAGTTACTGATTACAGGTCAGGGCTGGGGCTTGCTCATTTGCATTTCTAGCACGCTCTCTGGTGCTGGTGCGCCGGTCTGGGTTTCCCACGTTGAGAACCACTGCCTTTGGCCAAACTTCTTCACACAAACATTGCAGTGGTTTGGACACATCAGAAGACCTGTGTGTGAGTACTTCTGTGCTTGAAACTAGTACGATGATCTTGTGTGGGTAATTTAACCACTTAGGTCTGAGTTCTTTGATTTGTAAAATTAAGAAAGTATACTTCAGAAAAACTCCAAGTGCTACATTATCTTAAGCTGAATTGAAGCTGAAACACTGGTGAGTTTTTTCCCTTGATTTTCTTAATTCTCTTGATAGGAGCTTCTATTTTTATCATATCGCTTATACCCATATTCTAGGTCTTTGCTGTGAGTTCCTAGTGTGCCAGAGTCCCTGCTGTTTTTTAACTACATGTTAAATTCTTGAAGGTCAGGGCCTGTGCTTTTTTCATTTTTCTTTGCCCAGCACCTTGACTTGTATGGGACACACAATTGTTGCTCAGTAGATACTTCTGGGATGAATGAACTCCATTCCCATTAGTGGAGACGTTTTTCTCCACTAATCCTGTGTAACATAGTAAAGTAGTATATGGCTGTGTCACCTGATTCCCTCAGGGGATTGGAATAAATGCTAATGCCAAATTCCTGTAACTGTCCCCAGAAGCCCTGGCACCCACTGATTCTGAATTTCAGTGTCTGTATTCAAGTTGGGGGAAGAGAAATCAACAGCTTAAATAAATGCAACACACATTTATTGAGCATCTTTTTAACCAGGTGTTTGACAGAGTGTTAGGAACAGGGAATATAAAAATATATAAGGAGGTCCTTGCTTTCAGGGACAGGGCTCACAGTGGGAGACAGAAGACACTAAACAGTGGCCCAGAGCAAGAATGCCATCTACTTTGGACCATGATTTAGTCTGCAGTGGAAACCTGATACCCCTCAGATTCCTGTGGTCCAGCAGGCATGGATCCCATCCTTCATCTCATCATACGCAAGGGAGCCTTGGGCAAAGCCAGGAGGAAGTCATCTAGTTACAGAGCAGGGGGTATCTTGACAGAGAATATTAATTAAAAACTAAAAACACAGTGAATGACTTGAAGTAACTTCTGAATTATCCATATTTATACCTCAGGTCAAGCTATATTTATAAAATATCCTTTTTTTTTTCTTTCATTAAATAATGTTTCCTCTGTGTGATTGGCATTGACTGTGTTCATTGTAGTGAATTAAGTGTATTTGTCTAGTTTAACTCTGGCTTCCAGATAAAAGCTGCTGCCCTCATTAGGGTGGGTGTCAGGTTTGGTGATCACCCTTTTCCTACTTCAGATTAGTTTGTGACATTCTGTTTTAAACTGAGGCATGTCGATTGGCCTGCTTTATTCAGGCCATTAACCACCCCTGGGTAAAAACCTGTAAGTTTAAAAAGCCTAGTTTCATGTTGGAGGTTACCCAATATGATCATGGTGGCAGGATATTTAATTCTGGTCTCAGAACCTGTATTTGGCCTCTAGCCCTTCTCAACTCTTGAGTAAATTCCTCTCAGCATCTTCAGGCTAATACGTTATGGCCCATGTACTCAATAAAGAGGCCACATATCCTTGTACCCCTCAAAGCCCCTCTATTACCATCAAAAAGCTGGATAGTTTCTCAAAAAATGATCCAGCTCTCTGCCTTTAGGTAGAAAATCATCCCCATTTTCAAGATGATTTGATGTGACTTGTCCCAGATGACACATCTCTAGGAGGTAGAGCACAGCTCATCCACCTCTGAAGGCAGAACTGTCAACAGCGATCCAGCACTGCCTCCCGGGCCTGTGTACATACCTGTAGGAAACATTTTAATTGAAAATAAAGTGAATTGTTATGATTTTTATAGCTTTATTTAAATTTTTCATGTTTATATTTACTCTCAATTACATTTTTATACCTTGATCCTAAGTGCAAAGTCTGTAAAATTTGGCGGCAGAAGATATTTATGTCTTAGCCTCCTCTGACTCCCTGTACCACCCACTACTTATTTGGCCTCTCTTTTTGTTTCTTCCTGTCTTCCTCTTTTTTACGCCTTATAATAACCTTTGAGGTACTTCTCCCGTTGCTACTCAAATCTAGTGAAGAATCACTGAATAGAATCTTAACTAAATCTATGTTGACTCTAACAAAGGAAGAAAAAATTTAAATGGCAAGAATATCTTAAATCGTTTTTAAACATGGTTTGAAGCACACTGATCGTGATGTGTTAGAAGGCAAAAAGTCAGTGAAGGTATTCCCTTTCATTTGTTCTGCCTTTTGGGTTAGGTTTTCAGAGGACCTCTTGGGGATACGGGCAGACCTCGGAGATATTGCAGGTTCAGCTCCAGACTGCCGTAATAAAGGGAATATCACAATAAAAACAGGAATTTTTTGGTTTTCAAAAAAACTGCTTACACTGTACTGTAAAGTTCTCTTTACACTGTACTGGAGTCGATTGATTAAGCAATAGCATTGTGTCTTAAAAAAATGTATATAATTTAAAAGTACTTGTTGGTAAAAAATGCTAACCCTCATCTGAGGCTTTAGTGAATCATAATCTTTTAGCTGCTGGGGGGTCTAGCCTTGATGTTGATGGCTCCTGACTGAAGGGTGGTGGTTGCTAAAGGTTGGGGTGACTGTGGAAATTGCTTAAAATAAGACAACAATGAAGTTTGTGGTATTAATTGACTCTTCCTTTCATGAAGAGTTTCTCTGTGGCATGCAGTGCGGTTTAATGGCGTTTTACCCACAGTAGAACTTTCAAAACTGAGTCAGTTCTGTCCAACCCTGCTGCTGATTTATCAACTGAGTTTATGTAATATTCTAAATCTTCAGTTGTCATTTCAGCAATCTTCACAGCATCTTCACCAGTAGATTCCGTCTCAAGAAACCACTTTCTTTGCTCATCCATAAGAAGCAGCTCCTTATCCATGAAGTTTTTATCATGAGATTGTAGCAACTCAGTCACATCTTCAGGCTCTACTTCTTATTCTAGTTCTCTTGCTGTTTCTACCACATCTGCAGTTTCTTCCTTCACTAAAGTCTTGAACCCCTCAAAGTCATCCATGAAGGTTGGAATCAGCTTCTTCCATACTCCTGTTAATGTTGATGTTTTGACTTATTCCCATGAATCACTAATATTCTTCATGGCATCTAGAATGGTGAATCCTTTCCAGAAGGTTTTCAATTGACTTTTCCCAGATCTATCAGAGGAATCACTGTCTATGGCAGCTATAGCCTTACAAAATGTATTTCTTAAATAATAAGACTTGGAAGTTGAAATTACTCTTTGATCCATGGGCTACAGAACGATTGTTGTGTGAACAGGCATGAAAACATTAATCTCATTGTACATCTCCATCAAAGCTCTTGGGTGACAAGGTACATTGTTCAATGAGCAGTAATATTTTGAAAGAAATTTTTTTTTCTGAGCAGTAGGTCTCATCAGTGGGCTTAAAGTATTCAGCAAACCATGTTGTAACAGATGTGCTGTCATCCAGATTTTGTTGTTCCATTTATAGAGCATAGGCAGAGTAGATTTAGCATAATTCTTAAGGGCCCTAGGATTTTCAAAATAGTAAATAGCATTGGCTTCAACTTAACGTCACCAGCTGCATTAGCTTCTAACAAGAAAATCAGCCTGTCCTTTGAAGCTTTGAAGCCAATCATTGACTTCTCTGTAGCTATGAAAGTTCTAGATGGCTTCTTCTTCTAGTAGAAGACTTTTGTCTGCATTGGACATCTGTTGTTTATTTTAGCCACCTTCATTAATTAGCTAGATCTGGATAACTTGCTGCAGCTTCCACATCAGCACTTGCTGCTTCATCTTGCATTTTATGTTACAGAGATGGCATCTTTCTTTAAACCTCATGAACCAAACTCTGTTAGCTTCAAACTCTTCCTCTGCAGCTTCTTCACCTCTCTCAGCCTTCATAGGATTAAAGAGAGTTGGGGCCTTGCTGTGGATTAGGCTTTGGCTCAAAGGATTGTTGTGGCTGGTTTGAGCTTCTATCTAAACCACTGAAACTTTCTCCACTTTCTTATCATTTGTGTATTCACTGGAGTAGCACTTTCAATTTCCTTCAGGAAACTCACCTTTGCATTCCAACTTGGCCAACTGGGGCAAGAGGCCTAGCTTTCAGCCTGTCTCATCTTTCGACATGCCCTCCTCACCAAGCTTAATCATTTCTAGTTTTTTATTTACAGCAAGATACATGTGATTCTTCCTTTCACTTGAATACTTACAGCCCTTGTAGGGTTTTTAATTGTCTTAATTTCAACATTGTTATGTCTCAGGGAATAGGGAGGCCGAAGAAGAGGCAGAGAGACGGAGGAACAGCTGGTCAGTGGAGCAGTCAGAAAGCACACATTTATTGATTAAGTTTGCCATCTTGTATGGGCACAGTTTGTGGCACCCCAAAACAATTAGAATAGTAACATCAAAGATCACTAATCACAGATCACCATAACAAGTATAGTAATAATTAAGCTTGAAATATTGTGAGAATTATCAAAATGTGATTACATCAAGTGAGCAAATGCTGTTGAAAAAATGGCACTGATAGACTTGCTTGTTGCAGGGTTGCCACAAACCTTTAAGCTGTAAAAGAAAACAAAACAGAAAACACATTATCTATGAAGCGTGATAAAGGTGAATCGCAGTAAATTGGGGTATGCCTGTACTAACTGGGTTTGCCTCAGGTTGCCTC